AAAAAGGACACGAAGGGATGGAGGATGGGAACAGAGGCTTCTCCAGTTGCTGCATGTCCCATTTCCCGGTGCCACCAAATTTCTCAAAACAGTGTCTGCCCTCAGTCCTCTTCCTTCCCGCGAAGCTGGCTGCGGCTCATGCCCCCACCACTCAGCTGGGACCACTCCTGGAAAGCTCGGCTGACCTTCTCTTTGGCTGGTCCAATGACCTTCCAGCCCTTCCTACTCTCTCTGCAGTATCTGATGCTATCACTGCCTGTTTCTCCCCCCTCGGCCAGGGTTTTTTTTTGTGCCACATCTTCCCGCCACTCTCCTTCTTTGCCTTCATGTCACCACCTTCCCTTGGTTTTCCTGACACTGCCCAGGCCTTCATGGCCACCTTCACAGCCTTCCCCTCGCCCTTGTCCCAGCCTTGCTCTAGACTCCTCTCCTGTGCCATCTCCTGCCCCCAGTTTCTCCTCCAGCCACGTATCGGATCAGGGCACTCTTCTGTTTAAAAAGCCCTGGGAGGCGCTGTCACAAACGAGGGGCTTAAGCTATGCTTTTGAATGAATGAGTAAATAAATGGGTGAATGGACAAACCAACCCATTGTTTGTCTCCCTTGCTGATGTCATCTACCTTGTCCAAATGGCTTGTGACCTGAACCCCGTCTCAGGTCCTCACCTGTCTTAACTTGTTTCTTCCAGGTGTCAGGGCAGCCCTCCCCCAATACACACACACTCTGCAAGACTGAGTCACCCCTCCCACAACCTGTTTCTCCACCCATGTTCCTTCCCTCACCCAGTGATCGCCCTCCTCCCCATCACCCAGACCAGCATCTCCCTCTCCCACAACGCCTGTGGTCTGCGAACTTGACCTTTGTGATATCTCTTCTACAGTCCCTGAGACCAGTTGCCTTTTCTAGACCAGAGCCTACCACCTACTTCCTGGACCACTACAACTGTCTCTACCTGTTCCTGCCTCATGCCCTCAGAAATGGTCATATGCTCCATCTTTTCAAATGATGGAGCCATCACCCTCACTGCCACTTTGTTTGGGTTTCTAAGGGACAATTCTGGTCTGATCATGTCCCTCCTCCTCAAAGCCCTTCCATGACTCCCTACTGCCAAGGAATAATGTCCAAACTCAGAGCGTTCAAGGCCTTCCAGGATCTGCTTCCACCCACACTTACCTCCCACTGCCCCGCCCCCATTCCCTACATTTCAGCTACGATGGACTTGAACCCACATTTCCCACCCATCCACCTCCCACCTGGGAGGGCAGGACTATAGCTTATTCACCTCTACAAGCTCCACAGTGCCTGGCACAATGTCTAGGAAACACTCAAAGGACATTTGTTCAGTTGAACAGAGAATCTCTACCCTTTGATCAGCTTGGAAGCTCATGCAAAAATCACATTAAAATCGAGTCAGGGCACGTTTTTGTCCTCTTATTAATCTGCATCCTTATTAATTCAGCTGTTGGAGGCGTGTGCCCTACCCAAGGGAAAGGGCCACCACTCCTTGGAAACAGGCAATTAAGACTCCAGCAGGGAGTTTCCTTTCCTCCAGAAGCGGACAGCACCCAGTCCCTTTCCTCTCAACACCTGACACAGGAGCTTCTGCCCTCCCCAACCGTGGAGCCCCTGGAATCCTCCCTGTCTCCCCAAAGGCAGGTGACCAGATGGCATTGGGCAGGTCTTTACCAACCTATCCAGGAGCAACTGCCTTCCTGGGGGCCAAATAAGGCTAAACAGAAAGCACGCTTTGTAGTGGCAACCATCAATGGCACTGAATCCAAGCTTTCAAAACAAGTTTTAAGGAGAGTGACCTCCAAATACCCTACAGTGAGCCTGCGAGGATGCACAAGCTTAACCGTTCCTACCTTGTGGACCATCAGTGGAGGAGAGACCTGGCAGAGGGCAGGTGACTGCTGAGAGGGGGGCCTATCTCCTTTTTCCAGAGAGAGGCAGGAGATGTCTTTCTGAGTCCTGTCCTCCTCCCTGACATCTCACAAGAGCCACAAAAAGTAACAGCCCAGACGGTACTCCCCACTCGCAGCCTTGAATTCAAGGACTTGCCATCCCTGGGCTCCCTCTTTCCAGGGTCCTGCCTCAGCCCCGCACAAGAGCCTCTGCTCCAGCCAGACCAGCCTTCTCAACTCCCCACATTGTTCCACCCACATCCTCTGCTCTCACATCCTGCCCGCATTCCTCCTCTCTCCCAGCCAAACTCCACCCACTTGGAAGTCCCCCTCCTCCGGGAACTCCTCCTCCCCCACGAAGTCCTCTTCTGATGTGGGAAGGAAGGAACTCAGTGACCCCAGGCAAACTCCCCCAGCGTTCACCATGTACACATCACTCTGCCTGTCAACTAGCCGGGAGCTCTGAGTGCCCTTGTGCGCAGCGCCTTCCTGTCTGGCCGGCCTCGCTTATGTTCCTGGCCACGGCCTACAGGTCTGGCTTCTCCATGATGAGGAGCACAATGCTGTGCCCCAAGCAAATATTCACTCAACGGCTGCTGATGGACGGACCGCCTCAAATGGGGTGTCACAGAGGGGCTACCACGAGCCCACAGGGCAACAGGAAGGAAGACAACTAACATTTATGGAACTTTGGCTAATACCGCAGAGGGTCTTGGCACTCTCACACGTTAAGACCTCATTTCATAGTTGGCAACAATCCTATTAGGTAGATATTATCATCCCATTTTTCAGACAAAGAAACTGAGGCCAGCAGCTAGGGCATTAAATGACTTCCCGAGTCACAGTAAGCAGGGGAGCCAGGATTTGAACTCGTGTCAATTATCTCCTCAGAATCTTGCAAAGGGAAGACTTCTGTCCTCTCCCACCCAATGCTGCTGCTTCCTGTAATCTTGATCCCAGCCAGGGCTTTGGCTACAAAGGGTCCTACTCCATTACCCACTGAGGGGCACTCCTGCAGCCCACTGGCAAAGCCTCTACCCCTGAAGTTCCAGCCTCTAGGTCCCCAAGCTCCAGCCAAAACCAGCTTTAAGCTACCTTTCCCTCCCTCCCCTCTGTTCTCTTCCAGATGGGCACCGGCTCCAGTTTGATAGGGCCCTGACACAGCTGGACCGCCTTGCAGGGCCAGTTGTTTGCTAAACAGGCTGGGCTGGTAGAAGCTCACTGTTTGCTCACGGAGACAAGGCGCAGGAGGCAGAGGAAAGGGACAATGACACATGTTACTGGGAGTGGCCATACTCTTGTACGGGCCTGTCCCCGTCATACCAGCGACACTCTCTCCCCCTGTTCAACACATGTCCTCATCTTAGAGCTCTCAGCCTTGATGGGTGGGAGCGAGGACAGGCTCCAGTCCCCAGGGGATGGCAGACAGGTACAGGGCCATCTCTCTGGCCTGCTGGCAGCCAGGCCCACCTCTAGGGTGTACTGCTTCCCAGGGGGTCCAGCCACGCAGCCCACATGCACACCGGGCTCTCAACGGGCCAGAATCTCTGGAGATCTGGAATCTGAGTCGTGTTTTCCAAACACTAGAAGTAATCTAGTGGTAAGTTGTAAAATCAAGTTAGTGAATCACAGCCAGTACTTTTTAAAAAATACATAGAACAGAAAATAGCACGTACTGCACGCACGAAGAATAGTGTTTTATGAAACACTTGTTTCAGGGATAACAGATACAAACCAACTTCTGGATCTCACTGTAAATGTTGTAGGTCACAGTAACAATGTTTGAAAGCCACTGCTTAGGGCCTTAGAACAGAGACTGATCAGGAGCTAGAACCACTTGCACCCTGGACCAGAGCCCTAAGGACAGGGCACAGAGCCCCTCTCCCTGCTGAAACTGAACTGCAGGCTCCTCAGGAGAGGCTGGGAGGGCTTGGCCGAGGGGAGGTCACAACACTGGTCTCTGGAGCTCGTAAGAAATGCACAGGTCACTACCAGCCCAGCTCAGCCCAGCCCAGCCAGATGCCGCCAGTGTGAAGGCAGCTAAGGAGCCCAGCTTAGGGCACTGCCAGCACCCCTCCCACAGCAGGATGGGCGGTTGAGGACATGATTAGTCACTTGGGGCACTCAGGCTGTGTGTGCTGAATGACTCAGATAGGTGCTGAGAAGCTTCTGGATCTCCCGACATACCTGGGCCATCTCCTTCCAACCCCCCCGAGCCCCAGCCTCTTTCAGACAGAAACAGAATGCCCCAGGCACCAGCCCCCACCGAACCCCCACAGGATGTCCCGACCTGGCCACGGGACCAATGCCAACCCCCTTCCCCTGTGCAGGGACTCCTGCTGCCACACTGATCTTCCCCCAGCTTCCCACGCGGGGCTGCTTGCCCTGCTTCAGCAGAAGGAACAGAGGGCTCCGTCCTCCCCTTGGAGAGTAATTTTGAATATTTTAAGTTACACATCTTGGGGCCAAGGATAGGACAATGGCCCTGTCATGGAAGCCTTTTACTTAAAAGAGACAGTTGACAAACAATGTCTCCGCTGCCACCTCTAAATGATACGGCAGTAGCTGTTGGCTCAGGACACTTCCCCAGGCCAGCTGAATGGGGGCTTGGGCCCTGACCCTAAGTGGTAACAGGAGGGTGGGAGGGAGCTCTCCGGGGCTGTGGAAACCCTGAACTCAGCAGGATTTCACTGGCCATGAGAACAGAAAGGTCACACGGAGTTAGAGCTGGATGTTGCTGGAAGAGCCTGGGGCCTTGCTCTCCAGATGAATTCTCCTGGCGTCATCAGGCTCAGATATGGTTCATGGTTCTGCCTGGCAACTGAAGCCCCTGAACTCAGAGATATCTTGTTCCAGGGACAATGCTTGGCTTTTCAGTCTTCAAAGGCATTCCCTGATTATTCTTTTTTTTTTTAAAAAAAGACACATTTATTCAGCGTCATGATCAGACTATTACATTTAGCAATCAACAGCATGGGCGCAAAAAAAAATCTATATTAAAACCCTTTGTTGGAATGCTTTACACTTTCCACAGAACAGAAACTAAAATAACCTGTTATACAATTAGTCACAAATACAGTCCTCAAGTGTTTTTGCCCATACACATGAGCATTGTCTAAAACATGTCTTCTTTGTAGCAGCTAGGCCCTGCCACCACTGTGCTTGGCTGAGTTCACAAATCCGTTGTAACCCGTAGCTTCCCTGTCACTTCTCTGGCTCTCCTCTCCTGCTAAGCTTTGTTTCCTGGCAGTGATCAAAACCTTCTGCCACTGCCACAGCTACTGCTGCTACTGGAACCACCACAGCCACCTTGGTTTTGGGGTTTGGCAAAGTATTGGCCTCCACCACCATAGGGGCCAGAACTTCTGCCTCCAAAGTTTCCTCCTTTCATGGGTCCAAAATTTGAAGATTGATTGTTGTAACTGCCAAAATCAATGTAGCTTCCACCACCTCCAAAATTGCTTCCATCATTACCAAATCCATTATAGCCATCCCCACTGCCACCATATCCACCACCACTGCGGCTGCCACCAAAGCCAGCTCGACCACTGAAGTTTCCTCCACGACCAAAGCTGTCATTCCCACCAAAACCCCCTCCACGACCACCACCAAAGTTTCCAGAACCGCTTCGACCTCTTTGGCTGGATGAGGCACTAGCCGTCTCTTGCTGAGATAGGGCTTTCCTTACTTCACAGTTGTGGCCATTCACAGTGTGGTATTTCTGAATGACAATCCTGTCTACAGAGTCATGGTCATCAAAGGTTACGAAAGCAAAGCCTCTCTTTTTGCCACTGCCTCGGTCAGTCGTGATTTCAATCACTTCAGTTTTCCCATACTGTTCAAAATAATCTCTTAGGTGATGTTCTTCAGTGTCTCCTTTAATGCCACCAACAAAAATCTTTTTCACAGTTAAGTGGGCACCAGGTCTTCGAGAATCTTCTCCTGAGACGGCCCTCTTTGCTTCCCCAACTCTTCCATCCACCTCGTGTGGCCTTGCCTTCATGGCCGCATCCACCTCCTCCACAGTGGCATACGTGACAACCCCGAAGCCTCTGGAGCGCCTGGTGCTTGGATCTCTCGTTACCACACAGTCTGTGAGCGCTCCCCGCTGCTCATAATGGCTCCTCAGACTGTCATCGGTTGTTTCAAAAGCTCAAACCTCCGATGCAGAGCTTCCGCAGCTTTTCGGGCTCTTTGGGTGACTCTGACTTAGACACGACGGCAGTGGAGGTGGGGGAGACGTCAACAATGCTTACTCGGTGGCGTCCACGGGCAGAAAGGAGATCTACCGAACGTATCTCCTGATTATTCTTAGTGGCCACAGAGGAAATTGCTTTTCTAGATGTCATTCTGGTGGGAGCAGGCTAATTATTTATAGGTGGAGAGAGAGATTTTGATTTGGATTCTTTAATTTGGAAGAGAACTAACTGGATTACGGCTGGGCCTGAGCTCTGGGGAAGGTGCTAAGTATAATGGCACAGCCTTGCTGCTCTGGGCTTCCCAGGGCCTCTGATGTGAGAGCCTTGGAAGTTGTCCACATGTTAATTAAGTGGTTGATGCCCCGCGGTGGGCAGGCTGGCAGGCAAGGCCTCATCAGAGAGCTCGTGCTACTTGCAGCCAGAGGCGGGGTGACAGGGCCCTCGTGTGTTGGGTGTGATGTCTCCCGTGATGGGGATCCCTGCTGCCCGAGGCACTGGGCTAAGGCTCTCCTGCCAGGTCACTTCTGAGCCTCTTGGGTTCAAGGCACTTGCCTGATGAGGATGAGGGTGGCCAGTTGTCTCAGGGGACCTTTTCTGGGGGACCATGAGACCCCCTGAGTCTGATCCTGCCTACAGGTGGGTCAGAGCCTAAAGCCTGGTTTTACAGGGTTTAGATCAGCCCTCTAAGGCTGGGAGGTCAGGCGGGAGAGGAAATGATTGGAAAGAGGCCCCTGGGAGCTGGGAGCTCTCACCAGCTCAGGTGATGATCAGTTCTCACAGCTACAATCTGCCCATCCCAACACAACCACACACAGCCCCTTTTCCTTATAATGGGCAGAATGTGCCAGACCAAGTGAGCCTCTTTCTTTTCTGCCTCCCAGCTCACATCCCTTTCTGCCTCTAAAATAGGTACATGCTCTAGGGGCTGTGATTTAAGCAGGTCAAGCCCAGAAGCCTGGGAGGACACCACAGAGCCCAGCAGTCACGCAGACACCAGGGAAGCATGGAGCAGCTGACAATGTGCTCCGACAGCACTGGCCCCGAGCCCGCTCACCCCTCCTGGTCACACACCCTCACAGTCGGGAAGCCAGGGATGTCGAAGTCTCTGCAGACTGCGGTGTTGGCCTCCTGAGCACAGTCCAGGGCGGCGAGATTCAGCGCCGGCCTCCAACCTGAAAGGACAAAAAAAAAAGAAACGGAAAAAACCCTGAGGTAAGTAAGAGGGGCTGGCACCTCTGCCTGCTGACCTCGCCCACCGCCACCAGTGCCCACGGCACCTGCCTCCAAAGCTCTTAGGAGAAAGGTCACCCCTTCCTCAAAACACGGCCTCTGAGATAGTTGGGTTATTCTGCATTTAACCTGTGCTTAGGACACAGTTAAATAGCACCGGTAACCCACTCAGAACAGCAAGCTGTGTCCCCCGTTGTTCTGCAGTCGGGGAGGGGCACAGGGGCTGGAGGAGCTGAAGAGAGGTATGAGATGAGCCTGGCCCTCTTGGGGAAAAGCCCCTGGGATACTGCCTCTGTCTCTGCTGCCCTCTAGAGATGATCAGTTCCAGAGGGGTGAAGAGCACGCCTCAGGAGTGCTGAGTTCCCCCGTGGACCCTCGGTGAAGGCCTCTGAGGCCAGAGGTAGTGGCCAGCAGCCCAGCTTGGGTGGGTGGGACACAGGGTGGTGGGGACCGGCCCCCCGGCCAGGGGTGGAGGCAGAAGTGCAGGGGAGGAAGGCGAAGACACCTGGGATCTAGAAGCCACAGGGAAAGAAGCCCTGAGGCCAAAGTCTAGAAGATAACAGCTCCCCAGGCCGGCTGCCTGGGCACCCTGCTCCTTCATCAGGCCCCAGGCCACAAGGCCTCCCTCCGATGGAACTTACTGGCAGAGAGAACAATGGCACCGTTCTGGGCCACAGCCCCGGATCTGGGAAACAGAAAACAAACTCATCTACCGGGCAGGCCTCCTGAGCTCCAGTTCCAGGTCAGGTGCCCCGGGAGCACCTACCAAAGTGCCACACTACAGTGAGGCTGCTCCCGCCGGGATGGAGGATGTGCACGTGAAGCTGCACAGACGGTGAGCTGGCGATGCACTGGTGCCACGCCGTGTGGCACGGGGCTGTGAAGGTACGTGGCCGCAGGGCAGACCAACCCTGGGCACCAAGCAGGGGCCTGGCAGGAAAGGCGAGAACTGAGTGGAGCCCTGACCGTCAGTCCAGGTGACAGGCAACCAGGGCACGGGGTGAGCAGATGAAGAGGGGAGAGTGAACAGGGCTGCGGAGGCGATGCCGCGGGAAGGCAGGCAGGGGCCAGCGTGGGCGCGCCGGCCTGGGGCTCAGGGCTGGCTCCCCAGCACCCTCCCCAACGCGGGCATCTCCAGGACGATGAGGGAAGGGGCAAGCCTGCCTGAGGAGTCGGGGAGGGCACACATGCTCCCCACAGGGCCCTACCCCTCCCACCTGGAGCACAGGATGGGGTGGGGGGACTTACACAGGCAGCCCACGCAGAACTCGCTAATGACAGAAGACTAATATCCAAATAACATCCCTGAGACCTGTGGCTTTGCCGGGACCTCTTACCTCGCCCCAGAACCTGTCCCTTACAACATCTGAAAAACCACTACTTCCAAAGGCATCAGAGCTCCCAGAACCTTTTATGTCTAGGGTAGGAGTGTCACCCTCACTTCCACAACAGATGTATGGAAGAGTCAGGATGCCTCCCAGACACCCCTGACCCATCCCTCAAAGGAAAGGCTCCGAAGGTTCAGAGCAACTAAGCTGGTCCTTCTTGGGGTGACACGAGGCAGGGGGTCTGGCACTGTAAGGCAGGCCAGGGGCAATACCCGCTCCCTCCCCAGCCCCTCTCCCCTTCTCCTTTCTTGCCGGCAATGGACATTTGGCACTGAATCCTGGCGGGAGGGAGGGAGTGGGGATGGGGGAGTGGGGTGTGAATGGAAGTGTTCAGCAGAGACAGGTGAGCCACACACTAACATCCCCCGCTACCCCATCTCGCCAAACCCCTTCTGGGGAGCTCTCGGCTCCCCTAGCACAGGAGGGCAACAGTTTGAGCTACAAATACACGCCAACCCGAATGGCCTGCATCCTTCAGCTTTACATCTAGCTGGAAGGGCAGCCTGCTGTGGTCAGTAACCAGGGTCTGCTCCACACTGGGCTTGGCACAGCATCCCTCCTGCCCTCCCTGACACTCTGCTCTCCCCTGACCCCTCCCCCACTGTCAGCACCACGTAGGAGGGACAGAGTCAGGCAGTCCAGCCACGCGGAACCAATAATACCAACGAGCTTCCTGTCCTGTCCACCCCCAGTCCCGAGTCTCTTCCTGCCCTCCCCCATGTCTCCTCTCCCCACCCCCGGGTTCTTTACCTCTCACGTCGCCTCTGACCCACCCTCCTAGTGAGCTAGTGCAGGGTTTCTTGTCCAGATGAAATGTCTCATTTCCCTCCTGGCCAAGGTTCTAATATGCTCCATCACCAGCCTACCCAGCCACCAGTGATCTTTTCTATCCGCAGATCTATGTCACTCTCTACTCAATATTCTTTGAGGGCTCCCATTGCCTCTAGAAGAAAACTCAACAGGCATCAGGCCATTCTTAATCTGGTCCCTCCCCACCCAGCTTCCTCTTACCATTTCCCCAAATTATGCTCCAGGAACGCTGAAAGTTTTCTCCTTCCTTGAAAGCACAATGCTCATCTAGGCTATTCCCACAGCCACCTCTACCCTCCCAACAAACTCCCAGTCGTCAGGTGCAACTCAATTTGAACGGGATTTTTCCCCCCAGGAAGAGCTGCCTTCCAAGTCCAAGGCTCAGGACGCTGTTCTCGTTTCCACCACACAGTTACAAGCCTGTCCATCCCTAAATGTCTCTTCATCCTTGCATCCTCCTTGCCTAGCTTCCCCATTATCCTGCACACAGTAGGTGCTCAGTGACTATCGACTGAATGATACAACTGACCCAGTCCCGGGGCCGCTACAGGGCTGGAACATCTTCTCTCAGCCTTACTCTGTCCTCAGGTCCAGGCAGGGGGTGAGGTTAATGCCCATCACCTGTGAATGCAGGAGAAGTGAGCTGCCCAGGGATGGGGTTTTGCCCTGGATCACAGGCAGAGCACCCCAGGCCTCCTTTCTATGGCTCCTCTCCTGCCCAAGGGAGGCCCAGCAGAGGGTGGGAAGCACAGGTCACCCTGTAGGGTCATCTGGCACATTTCAGGCTTGGCTCCGGCTCTGCATCTAGGGCTTTTTTCAGGGAGACCCCCAGGAGAGGCCCAGCTGTTCTCAAAAGTACCAGCAAGTCAATTAGACCTAAGGGCAGAAGAGTGGCACTTTTGTGTCCTTCCACCAGTGAGGGCCCCTGGCAGGGGGTCTCACAAGGCCACCTGGCAGGGACCAAGGACAGCAGGCCTCAACCACTCCACTCCTCTCCTCTCCAAGAGTGCAGGCCACCATCCCTCGGGCCAGGGTTGTTGTTTGTTGCCCGCTGGGGCATGAGGCTCTGAAGGCACAGGGAGAGGAGAGGACAGAAAGCTAGTGTTCAGCGAGCGTCCACAGATTTTGTGTCCTCCAGATTTTCCCACTCCACCACCGCCATTGGAGGTGGGCACCATTTTACCCACTTTACAAACGAGGACAGAGACCAAGAGACCTCCAAGTGGTCCCAGGGCTACCGGACCCAAAACCCCACTTTTGTCCCTCTGCCTCACCAGGGTCAGGATGCTACCTTTATACTTTTGCTGTCTGCTCCAGTCACAACCTTCCCCATGAGAGAGAAAATGGTTAAGACAGTTTCCTCTTCTAGCTACATACCATTCTCTATAACGCCCAAGAGTTGGTCAATATCATAGACTCAGCCTTTACTTAGATGATAGTGGTATCAGGCATATAGAGAGTTTATCATGTGCCCAATGTATGTAGTTTAATGTGCGCAGCTACGCTATGAAGAAAGTAAGGAGGTATTTATTCATCTCTAGACTGTAAAATAGAGATCAGATAACTGTGCCCGAGGCACACAACTAATCAGTGGTGAATGTGGGATCTGAACCCAGGATCTGAGCCTCCCCGGTGGTCTCAAGAGGGCCCAGGACACAACAGAGAGCTTCTCTGTTCCCAGCCAGGAAACTCAGAGGGGACAGGGTGGGGTGGGTATTAGTAATGGGGATGGAGGCGGGAGGTGATGCCTGAGAGTTCTCAGCTCCCAGCTCCTGGACGGTCCGTTACTCCTTCTCTTTACGCCTTGATTCCCTGTACCTCCACTAAATGGAACCAGTGCCTCTTCTTACCAGCCCCAGCCTGAGGGGGAGCGGGGGGGGAGCCTGGGGCCGGTCAGGTGCTGGGAGAGTCCGGGCTGAGAAATGTTTCCCAGGAATATCAACGTCAATACCTTAATGAGCCATAATGACCTATAAAGCTCTGTTTTGACCCTAATCACTGTGGACCTGACTAGTCGTCATTCTAGTAACAGTACCAGGAATAGAGAGGACCCTTATCTGGGTGCTCCACTGGTAAAGCAAAGCTGCATTTACGGGAAGTGCACTGCTGTCAAAGAGGTACAGAGCTGGGTGAGAGAGGCTTTTTAAAGTGTCAGGTGACTTAATACCACAACCTGCAGGCCTAACACCAAACGGATTAGCAGTCTCAGTCCAGCCCTACTCTTAGGGAGAAAAAAAACTTTCCTGGTGCAATTACTGCCTTGGCAAAGTAATCTCCCCACTGACAGAGTAAATGAGCAAATGGAGCGGACGGGAGGGGAGGTAAGTGTAGGCAGCACAGCTGCGGACCCTGGGTGGCGGGAGAGGGGATGCTTTCTGGTGAGGGGGATGGGCTCCTTCTGGAGTCACAGGCGGCATACCCACCCCACTCACAAGGCCAGGAAGGGGCACAGGACCCAGAGTCACAGGGCTTGCAGACAGCTGCAACTGGTCGAAGCACCATGAGCTCCACACGTCTCCTCTCTGGGTCTCCGTTTCCTCACCGGTCACACGAGGGCCAAGATGAAGGTGTCTCAAGTCCTTCCCAGCTCT